TGGCATCTTGACTGACCACTAACCCTTCTCCCGTGTCTTGTCTTGTGCAGAACGCGAGGGCTTCCTGCACTTCGGACAACGAATGTCCCCTGGGTGAGGGGGAAGTGCTGGGGAACGGTGAGTAAGGGGTAACACTCAGGGGTGGGATTCAACCGGGGTAACTACAGGTTCGGTGAACGTGCGCATGTTTCAAAACCACCAATTTTTCAGCTTCTAAAACTAACCTTCTGCTGCAGCCCCGGGGAATGAAACAGCTGAGTCATGGCAGTGAGCTGTGCCGGACGAATCAGCTGAGCTGCAAAAGAGGGAAATCTAGGACAGACTACGACAGGGGCAGGTGGCGGAACTGCCAGCTGGCCCCAACCGATCTGAACTGGCTGAATCCCATCCCTGGATAACCTCTTCTCATGTCCATGACACTCAGTAGCCACCGTGTCAGATTTGAAATTCAGCCGCCACATTTAATGGAGGGGGTGGTGGGATGGAAGAGTTGAAAAGTTCACGGTTATTCTGTATGTTGTACTAAGAAATTCCAGTTGCAGTGAATTGGTTCTCGTGATTTACGAAGTGTAGAAGTGGGAGAAGGTGGATTCTGTGTAACGCTTGCAAAAATACTTTCACTTTGGGAAATTGCCTCAGACGTACCAGATCTGTTCCTAAATAGATCAATTGGAGAGTATATGTCTCGGAGTGATTGATATCATGGATGCTTTCTTGATGCCTTACAAACCAGTTTGCCCTTCCCTTGTGTACAGAGACAGCAATACCCTAAAACAGGGGTCGACAACCTTTTGGACCTCAGAGACCACCCAACTCATAATTTCAAATCCCGCGGACCCCTAATATGAATTTTAACTGATGGTGGCTTGCTGACGTTGGTGGGGAAAGTCGGTCCCATATTCCAGAGCTGCCGTCCAGGCTGGTCCTTTGGTCATTCCCAAACAGCAGCTCCTCCAGTCCACGGCAGGCCGGTGCACCCGGGTGGAGGAGCAGCTGCTCCGGGATGACCAAAGGGCCAGTCCTGTGACTACGGCAGCTCTGAAATACGGGACCGACTTTCTCATCGATGTCAGCAAGCCACCCCGGGGCGGATTTCCCTCCCCTGCCATTGGTCTTACCTTCCAGTTCCAGCTCGTGTGGCTCTACTCAAGGTAAGGTTTGCGCTTGGCTGAAGGGTGGGGATCAACAGGTGGGCAGGCCACGTGGGCGGCACAGCCTTGTGTTCCTGCGCAGCCTGGATTAATTCCTTTGGGGGCATTTCTCTGCGGACCACCAAAATGTTCTCATGGACAGCCCACTGGTTGGTGACCACTGCCCTAAAGCATAAAAGCAGAGGCAAAGGGGAGATTTGCTCTTTTTGTCATCGTTGTTGTTCTGCAGGAATGAAGACGGGGCATTGCGTCCCCTACAACTTCACCAAGAAGACCTGCCAAGTTATGGCCTGGTGCCCTGTGGAGAACGGGGCGACATTCAGGTAATAAGGGACGAGGAAAAGGCTCCCCTTGTTCCTCTTCCTCGCTGCTGCCAGACTCCGGAGGCTCCGAGGCAGCACCCCACTCTCAGATGGTCCTGGCCCCATCTCTGCATCGGATGCAGGACCCTCATCCGAGTCCTTCCCAGATTCCCGGACTTGTCCCTGTTTGTCCCCATTGTCCGATTCTGCTGCCATCTGCACCGGCTGCTGGCAAATCACAACAGCCAGGTTGTCATCATAAGTAGAGAGTTAGGAAGAAAAGCATTTCTGCGCTTGGACCTGGGCAAAAAAATGCAGATTTCTGGTCCCCTGACAGCTTTGCCTCCATCTTAATGTGGCTTTGTTTTGTTTTTTTTTGTTTTTTTGACTTCCTAGTGAGAGTTTGGCAGCAATGGCGCCAGAGTTCACCGTCCTGATCAAGAACAGCATTCATTTCCCTCGCTTTCATTTTTCCAAGTAAGGACGTAGCGGACGATCGCTTAAACCTGAGCCAGTTGTGTGCGCGGCGGCAGCCAAGAAAGCTAATACGATCCCGAGGCATGGAAGCATAGAATCAAAACCACGTGAAGTATTAGTACCACTTTGTAAATCCTTAGTAAGGCTACAGCTGGAATTACTGCATCTGGTTTTGGTCCCCACCTTACAAAAAAAAGAGGTTGAGACTTTGGAAAAAGTGAAGAGCAACTAAAACCATTAAAGGCCTGGAGACAAAAATATATGAAAAACGGTCGCAGGAACCCTGTATGGCTACTTTAGAGAAAGGAAGGGCTAGGGGTGACATGAGAGCAGGGTTCAAGTATTTGAGGGGCTGCACAGAGAAGGGGGGAGGTCAAATTATTATCCAAAGCACCAGAAGGCAAGGAACAATGGATGGAAATTATTCCAGGAGGGAAGAAACCTGGAATTAAGAAGAAACTTCCTTAACAGTGAGGATAATTAACAAGTGGAACAGTTTGCCACCAGAAGTAGTGGGTGCTTCATAACACTGGAGATTTTTTAAGAAGAGGCTGGATAGCCACTTAACTGAAATGGTGAATAGAATAGAATAGAATATAGAATATAGAATGGAATGGAATTCTTTATTGGACAAGTGTGATTGGACACACAAGGAATTTGTCTTTGGAGTTGGTGCAAATGCTCTCAGTGTACATAAAAGAAAAGATACATTCGTCAAGAGTCAAGAATCATAAGGCACAATAGAATATAGAATAGAATAGAATATAGAATAGAATATAGAATGGAATGGAATTCTTTATTGGCCAAGTGTGATTGGATACACAAGGAATTTGTCTTTGCATTTGGTGCAAATGCTCTCAAGTGTACATAAAAGAAAAGATACATTCGTCAAGAGTCAAGAATCATAAGGTACAATAGAATATAGAATAGAATAGAATAGAATAGAATAGAATAGAATAGAATAGAATAGAATAGAATAGAATAGAATTCTTTATTGGACAAGTGTGATTGGACACACAAGGAATTTGTCTTTGGTGCAAATGCTCTCAAGTGTACATAAAAGAAAAGATACATTCGTCAAGAGTCAAGAATCATAAGGTACAATAGAATATAGAATAGAATAGAATAGAATAGAATAGAATAGAATAGAATAGAATGATGTGGAATGGAATGGAATAGAATGGAATGGAATGGAATGGAATGGAATGGAATAGAATAGAATAGAATAGAATAGAATAGAATAGAATAGAATTCTTTATTGGCCAAGTGTGATTGGACACACAGGGAATTTGTCTTGGTGCAAATGCTCTCAGTGCACATAAAAGAGAAGACACATTTGGGGGCTGGACTAGAAGACCTCCAAGGTTAGGTTTCTGATGAATCGTCCGGGTTTGTCTCTGCCCTAGAGAGAACATCAGGGACAACAGCGATGGCTACCTGAGGAACTGCACTTTCAACGAAACCACAGATCTTTACTGTCCCATCTTCAAGTTGGGCTTTATCGTGGAGCAGGCAGGCGAGGATTTTTCCAAACTGGCTCAAAAGGTAACCGTCTTATTTTGGCCACGGCAGTTTGTCTCGTTATTGTGATAGGTAGGGAGGCCCCTCTGTTTGGGGTGTTGGGGGGCAGGGAGAGGAAGGAGCAGTGGTCTGGGTGCTAGTCTTCTCAGTCCCAGGAGCCAGCTGGATGACCTCGGGGTTGGGCCACCCCACCTCAGCCAAGTATGGTGTGGTGAAGGTGTTGGGAGTGTTAGGGTAATAAATAAAGGAAAGAAATCAAATATATGATAGCATTAAGTAGAGAGTTACTCTATAGGCATATTTTATCTAGATGTTAGGCAATTGTTTTCCTATGTATTGTCAGAAGTTACGATTCCCGCCTCTTCTAGGAAAACAGCCGCCACCCTTTGTCAAGTAGGGTGCTTGACAAAAGCACCCTACTATTAAAATAGCTGGAGCCAGCTTACTTTTCACAACAAAGGAAGGAGAAAATTACAGGCATGAGATACAGAGAAAAAGCCCCACAAACTAGCTCTTTTCCATAGAAATCAAATAGATGGCAAGTTATAAAAACTTATGAAAAGCAAACCAAAAGGCCTGGCAAGAAGGAAACATGATAGCAAACAAGCAACTACAAAGGATCAGGACCATACAACCGAGATCCCAGGAAAAGAATTCAACACACACACTTGTCTGAAATGGTCTAGGGTCTCCTGCTTGAGCATGGGCTGGACTAGAAGACCTCAAAGGTCCCTTTTAGTTCAATTCTGATTTTTTCTTTTCTTTCTGGCTCTGCCTTTGCCCTTGCAGGGTGGTGTGATCGGTGTGATCATTAACTGGAATTGCAACCTTGACCTGCCGGACTCCGAGTGCAACCCCAGATATTCCTTCCGCAGGCTGGACCCCAAATGGACTCAGGCTTCCTCCGGCTACAATTACCGGTAAAAATATATATATATATTCGCTGATTTTTTTTCCTGGAAAACAAAAGAAAAAGGCCTTTGGGGGTTTCATCTTTGGTTTGTCAGGGTGTGTTAAAGAGTGCCAAGGCTGGCCTCCAGCTTGCTTCCCCCTTCGCAACCGGTCAGCCTAAAATATTTGCAATGGGGGAGAGAGGACAAATTAGAATGTGTGTGTGTGTGTGTGTGTGTGTTGGGATCCATGCTGTGCCGGGCAAGGAGGCGGCACTGCTCCAGCTCAAGGTCAACTGAAAGTATGCAGAGATGGAGAAGCTACAAGGAAACTCGTGTTCCCAAAAGAAGATAAGTATTGCGTAATTGGACACTGTCTGCTTGCAGGTGCGGGGAAAGCGGCCAGGGGAAAGATCACCAGGGTGAAGTTTTCATGCCCCGCTTGCCAGATTCTGCTTCTCTTTGTAACCATTTATTGCTCTGGTAAAACCAGCCTCTTGGGTGAAAAAATCTCAGGCCAGGAGAGGCTCCTTTGGCTAGCTGACCAAGCGGGAGAATAAAAATCAAAACGGTGTAGATGTGACAGTCGCCCTAAAATCCCGATTCCCTAAGTTTCCCCAAGAGAGGAAAAGCAAATCTGGCCAGATTGGAATGACTGAGAAGAAGAGTTTCATAGCCAGATAACAGATAATCAGAGTTGGAAGGGACCTTGAAGGTCATCTAGTCCAACCCGCTGCCCAAGCAGAAGACCGTATCCGAAAGGTGTGTTTTTTTTAATCTTTGGATTAAAAAAAACAACAACACCCCAACTGCCAGATCGCCTTTTTTAATCATCTTCTCAAGCCAACCCCCCCAAAAGAAGCTGTTCTCTTTCTGGTGTCACCCATAAGAGTTAAACCACCAGATCTGGGGAGGGGGGGGGAACCCACCACACTCTGCTTTTAATTCTCCAGATTTGCAAAATATTATCAGCATGGTGGACGAAGCACACGCACCTTATTCAAAGCCTATGGGATCCGCATTGATGTCTTAGTGCACGGGCAGGTAAGGGCCACGCCAAGTTTATAGCGATGGAGTTAAGGGACAGTTGGCCTTAGGGGAACGAGGTCCGGGTTGCAGAGATCGTGGCTGAATTGCTGACTTAAAAAAGATTTTTGGGGGGGCTCTCCCTTCTTTTTAGGCCGGGAAATTCAGCCTTATCCCAACCATCATTAACCTGGCCACAGCCCTCACATCCATTGGAGTGGTGAGTACTGAGGGGACCCACAATAGTTGCTGTTGTTGTAACCTTTGAGTGCTTTTCCAGTACAGTTTGAGGTGGGTGTGGGTGGGGGAAGGAGGGTTGAGATGGGTTCAATATTGACATTAGTTGCCTGATGCAAGTATAAAGGAAAAATTGCAATCAGTCTGTGCAATCTGACTAAGGGTAGCTGACACCGGCACCGTAGTTCCCTACAGGCCGAAATTCAGGGGGGCGGGGGGCTGAGGCTATGGGAATAGAGGAAACATATGCCTAAAGTACATGTAAAAATAGCCATGTTGTAACACTGAGGTTAAAGGAATGGGAAAACTGCCCCTGTTGCTAGGACAGTATGGACAGATTCCGAAAATCGTGTGAGATGTGGTTTTCGGGTACCAAAGTTGAATAATGGGAGTGTCGGAACGTTCATGAAGCGACAGGGACATGGGTAACAACGTCAGCCCATGGGAGCTGAATTGGGGGCTGAGACTGGAAGGAGTCTGGGCGTGGCTTAGCTCTGAAAGGGACACTAGTCTGCTCTGAGCTCTGAAGCTGCTGTTTGTGTAACAATAGAAGAATCTACTATTAGTATTGTACATTTTGTTCATCTCATTATGTACATAAAGAAGTTAATGAATCCTGCTGAATCGGGTCATCGGTCTGTGCTTTCTGGAAATGATTTCTGCAATAAATTCTAACAGGGGAGGCTGTCGATCGGCCACCAGCCGTCCCTTTCGACTGCTTGTCCGATCGACCCTCAGTGCAACGTGGCGTAAACTCCTACAGCAAAGGCCTGGTGTTTGCTGTGCTTTAGTTTCTTAGTAAACCTCTTTTGTGGTGTGCTGTCTGTTCAATTAAATGCAGCTATGCTCATAGTCAGTTTTTTCCCTGGACAGTAGTAGCAAGCCTTGGGGTGTCCCTCTTCATGTACTGATAATCTCTGCCCCCCACTTTTTTTTTTGGCAGGTATCCTTCCTCTGTGACTGGATATTGCTGACGTTCATGAATAAGAACAAGGTGTACAGCACCCGAAAGTTTGACCAGGTATGGTAGCAGAAGCAGATCAGAGACTTCATATTTTGGTCTTCCGTGTACTAGACTGGTTCATGGACGTAGACCAGTAAGAAGGACAGACAATCATGACTGTCCAAGAACACAACCATCACAGGGAATGCCAAACTGGGAAGGGACTTTTTTTCCCCCATAATAGCTGGCCAGCCAAGGTGCGTCTTGTGTTGCCACCAAGTTCACAACATGAAAAGGAGCGTGTGTGTGTGTGTGCGTGTGAAGGGGTTTCCTCCTCTCACAGAGCTGCTCCATCATCAGGGGAAAACAAGTCACGTTTGAAGGAAAAAGCAGAACGATAACAGAATAAGAGAGCTGGGAGGGACCTTGGAGGTCTTCTAGTCCAACCCCCTGCCCAGGCAGGAAACCCTACACCACTTCAGACAAACGGTTGTCCAACGTCTTTTTAAAAACTTCCAGCGTTGGAGCATTCACAGCTTCGGGAGGCGAGTTGTTCCGCCGATTAATTGTTCTTGCTGTCAGGAAATCTCGCCTTAGTTCTAAGTTGCTTCTCTCCTCGATTAAGTTTCTCTGCCCACAAATGCAGGGGATTGTTTGAAAAAGCCATCAGTGCACACCGGATGCTCACCGGGTTTTCCTTTCTCTCTCTGGCCATGTCTCCAAGAGTCCCGAGGCTTCTGTGAAACCTGAATTTAGGGCCACCGATTTTGCCCCCCAAACTTTCTCGTTGGAAGAATCCACCAGACCCCAGCAACCTCTCGGGCCCTAGACTTCTATTTTCCATCCAGTCTGCCTGGGTTATATTTGCATCGGATGAATCACGGAATTGGAAGGGACCTTGTAGGTCATCTAGTCCAACCCCCCGCCCCTCCCCCTTGCCCAAGCAGGAAATCCTCCTACTTCACCTCTTCCCAGGAAAAGCTCCCTCCACCAAGCGGGCTGTCAGAGCTGCGAGGGGGCTCCTATCCTCACCAAATCCATTTCCGGAATCTCTTTGCTCTCCGATCCGCCCCCCTGCGAGTTACACGAGAGAAGAGAGAATTAATTAATCCAGGTTAACTGACAATTATTAAGTAAGCTTTTGTGAGAGGCACAGTAATGCCAGGCTGCCGAGCGGCTACCAGATCCCTTCCGATTTTGGCCCTATGCTGGATTAATGTGGCTAGCGTGCAAAAGAGATATTTTTCACCCTGGTTAAAGATATAAGACTTCGTTTACCCTCTATTTCTGCGACCATCCGACAAGGCGATGGGGAAGCCGGATTCGCTTAACAACTGTGTTACCAATGTAACGGCGGCGGCGACTCGCTCAACGGACGTGGCAAGGGGAGTCATAAAAAGGGGCAAACCCACAAATGCCTCGCTTAGCAACAGAAACCCTGGGGCTCAGTTGTGGCCGTAAGTGGAGGAATACCTGAGTTGGAGCTAGTTAAACCTCAAGGATCCCATCTCCGCGTTCAAAGAATCCAGAAACACTGGAAATAAATAGCAAGTTTCATTCTCCTCGTTCTTCTTTCGATCCCTTTCCTGAGTGGAGAAGCGCACAGCAGGCCAAGTGAGCCAAAGCTAATTGAATCAGGCAATTTACACAATCAAATTAGTTGCAGGGGGAACAGGCAGCTTCGGGGAAGCTCGGACACCTGAGAGCTGCCTTTATCTACTGTCTGCAAAGGGGTCTGTGCATTGGGAGTCGGGGGGAGGAAGGCGCTCTGCAGCCAGGCTGATTGGGGTTGGCCGAGTCCCAATGGCGAAGCGCCAACTGACATCAGCGGATGGCACTTTGCAGGAAACGGATACCGCAACAAACACATTTTTTAAAAAAAGATTTGTGCTGTTTTGCAGGCCGAGGGCTTCGCGCTCTTTCGAAGCGACACGCCTGAAAAAATGTGGGGTTGAGCCCTCAGGCCGTTTGTTTCTTTATTGCGGATTATCTGCTTCATTCATTTGGAGTTAGGCGGTGTCAAATTTGTTTATTAAATATATTGGCCAAAGCTGCCTTGAAAGGAAATAAAAGAATTATTTACAAGCGCAAACTTTTAAAAACAAAAAGCCAAGAACAAAAACAGCGTTAAAATCCGGGCAAGAAAAATGTCCCCGTCGTCCGAAGTTTGCTCCGGGTTTGCAAGAAGGTGAAGAGGGACACCCCCAACGTTCCTCGCGTTCCCTTGCTGAGTTTCAGAGACACCACGATCTCTTCTCCAACGAGGCCTTTATTCTCCTCTCGATGTTTCCACCCAAGGCAGGGCAACCTCAAGGCTGGCAGCTTTTGCTCCCCGGGGCGAAGCCTTCCTCGCCAGCTGCCTACGCAAGCGCCTCTCTCCTCGAGGACTTCCCAGCCAGGCCGAGGAGGGGAACTGGGCGCCTTGGGTGTTGCTTCTGCCCGAAAGGAAGACAGGTTTCCTTTCTCAGGAGAGAAACTGAGGGTTCATTTGAAGCAGCCACTGGACATTCTCCAGCAAGTGGGTCATCCCGTAATGCCGAGCGATGCCCTGGAAAACCTTCAAATGATCCAGGAAGCTCTGGATATGGGAGGAAAGAGAGAGAGAGAGAGAGAGAGAGAATGAAGGGAAGGTGGGAAACCCTCCAGCAAGAGACTGAGAAGGAAGGGGGAAACGGCTTCACCCATTGGGGAGAACCGTAGTCAAGGATCGGAGGGAGGGAAAAGCTAGGAAGCGGCCTTGACTTTACCTTGGTGGGTAGTAGGAGGTCAAAGTCCCCGGCACAACTGCAGTATACGGGCATGTGAGTATCCTTAACGCCTTTGCATTTCAAGCACACCTGAAACACTCAAGACACAAATGAATTAGGCTCTGCTCTGGATCCCTCAAGGGAATAGGATGGCTTGGCAAAGTCTGCAGCAAGTTCAACACCCGCGAATCCTCAGCACGGACCAAGAGGGCGACGGTCCATACACCCTGTACTCCGGGGCATAAAACGTCTAACCACTGAATCCCAGTCTCTGGGCTCAAGCAGCCCCAAACACCGCGATTTGTAGGTTGTTACGGCCTGGCAGCTCCTCACTCACGGCCTAGGGAGATTCTCCGTCATCCAGGCCGTTTTCAGTTTCATTGTAGACATGTTGTGCATGGACAATAAACCTTTGATTGATTGATGGCTGTCCCAAAGGTGTGTTGTTTTTTTTCTTCCAAGAGGCAATTGGGCTTTCTGGTTTTTATTTGAAGAGGTTTTGCTTCCCATCCAAGGAGCTTCTTCAGCTCTGACTGGATGTTGGGGAATGGAAGGATTTATATTCCTTGCAGACAGCTGGTCATTTGCATCCTTTTTAGAGGGCCGTTGAGGCTACTTGGAGGTTTGTCTGTGTCTTCAGGGTCAAAGAAGCCATCTATGTCCAAACTGAACATCCCTCCCTCAACGGGGGGGAGGGGGGATATGACGTCATCTATCTCCAGTCTGCAACACAGTCCTTTCACCAGTTCCAACAAGGCTTCACTCGGGTGACTCTGAGGACACAGATAAACCTCTCCAAGTGGCCTCAACGACCCTCTGAAAGGATGCAAATGACCAGCTGTCTGCAAGGAGTATAAACGTCTATGGAGATTCTCAATCACCCCGAGTCATGGTTGTCCCAAAGGTTCTTTTTCAAGAGGCAAGTCTTCGTTTTCTTAGAAGCTTCTCCATCTTTTGCACCTCCAAATTCTCCCCCTCCCCCCATCCTAAAACAGGGGAATAGCGATGGAGTCGAAGGGTGGGAAGAAACGTGGTTTGCCGATTACAGAATATCGGCTATTCCACCTCGCAGGACTCCTTGCTAAACATGGATTTTGTTAGAGGGCGAGTCGTACTTCGCAGAAGCCCACCCAGGGGGACCCCAGGACCCCACCCCTCCCTCACCAGATCTTGCAGGGTGAAGGCCATCAGCTTCTTCTGCAGGGCTTCCACCAGAGCCATCTCGATGGCGTCGGAATCGTACTGAGATTGGCAGTTGGAGCACAGCCAGCTGGGCAGCAGAGAGTCGTCCTGCAAGAGGGGAAGGAGGTCAGTGGGTGGGCTTGGAAGGAGAAAGACGGGGAGGGGGTTTCCAGGGGAACGGCTCACTGCGATGGACCAAGAGCCAGGGCCAACGGGAGGGCAACAAGGCAGCGGTGCCCGATCTTTGTGGCTTGGGTGACCTGGTGTTGGGGAAACCGGGTTGCACGAGTGGCAGGCCGGGGCGCATGCGTATGAACACGCAGCTCGGCTTGCAAAGTGGAGTTAGGCACACATGTGCATATGCACCGGCCTGCCACTGGCAGAAGTTGCATGCACGCACGCCGGTCTCCTGCTCGTGCAGCCCGGTTGCAAACAGGCCATCGCCCAGCAGTGGGTTGTAGAGCCCTGCAATAACGGATGGATGAGTCTTAGTGGACAACCAGCTAAATAGGAGCCAGCCGTGTGCGGCAGCAGCCAAAAAAGCCAATGCAATCCTAAGTTGCATCAACAGAGGGATACAATCAAGATCAAGGGAGGTACTAATACCACTCTGTAAAGCCTTAGTAAGGCCACACCTAGAGTACTGCACCCAGTTTTGGTCACCACACTATAAAAAAGATGTTGAGACTCTAGAAAGAGTGCAGAGAAGAGAAACCAGGGTGATTAGGGGACTGGAGACTAAAACATGCAATGAACGGTTGCGGGAACTGGGCCTGGCTAGTCTAGGGAAGAGAAGGACCAGGGGAGGCAGGAGAGCAGCCTTCCAATATTTGAGGGGCTGCCACAGTGAGGAGGAGAAGGTCAAGCTATTTTCCAAGGCACCCAAAGGCCAGATAAGGAACAATAGATGGAAACTGAACAAGGAGAAATTCAACCTGAAAATAAGGAGGAATTTTCTGACAATGAGAGTAATCAACCCATGGAACAGAAGTTGCCTTCAGAAGTTGTGGGAACTTCATCACTGGAGGCTTTTAAGAAGAGACTGAACTGCCATCTCTCAGAAATGGTGTAGGGTCTCCTGCTTGGGGGGGAGGAGGCTGGACTAGATGACCTACAAGGTCCCTCCCAACTCTGTTAATCTGTATCTAAGATCAGGAGCAGGCAACCTGCGTATCCCCATCGATTTCAGGTACTGGAATCTGTCTACCCTGGATCTTGAGGCATGAAATACCCAGGAGAAAAAGAGAGATTAATTCGAAAACCCTGGAGGAGGAGGAGGAGGAGGAGGAGGAGGAGAGGAGGCCTGGTCTAGGATTCCCGCTCCTCTCCTGTACCCAGACAGCAACTCCCAGGAGGAGGGAAGAGGGGCAGCGGAGACACGCAGTGGCAGCAGGAGGCAAGTGGTGTGTGTGTGTGTGTGTTTGTGGATGTGTGGGGCACCTGAAAGAGAGCCGGATCCTTGCAGAGATCCAGGTCCCTGCAGAAGTTGCAGTTTCTGCAGATCACTTCCGGGAGGACGTAGGAGCGGCAGGGGTCGCGGAAGTCGGCCTCCTTGGAGAACTCCCCCACATCGATGAGACGCAGCAGGTCCCGCTTCAGCTTCTGCACTTGGTTGGCAATGTTGGCATCCAGAGAGAGCACCTGGGGGGGAGAGAGAGGGGAGGGGGCTTCTTCAGGGAGGGAGGGGGCCCATCTTTATCTTGCGCTCAGGATATAGAGCAACAGCCCCGAGACTTATACGCCGCTTCACTCTGCGTTCCAGCCCTCTCTAAGAGGGTTACGGAGCCTCCTGACCCCACAACAATCTCAGAAGGAAAGAAAGAAGGAAGGAGGGAAGAAAAGAAGGGAAGGAAGGAAGAAAAGGAGGGAAGGAAGAAAAGAAGGAAGGAAGAAAGGGCGGGAAGGAAGAAAAGAAGGAAGGAAGGAAGGAAGGAAGGAAGGAAGGAAGGAAGGAAGGAAGGAAGGAAGGAAGGAAGGAAAGAAGGAAGCAACGAAGGAAGGAAGGAAGGAAGGAAGGAAGGGAGGGAGGGAGGGAGGAAGGAAGGAAGGAAGGAAGCAACGAAGGAAGAAAAGGAAGGAAGGAAGGAAGGAAAGGAAGAAAAGGAAGGAAGGAAAGAAGGAAGGAAGGAAGGACGGAAGGAAGGAAGGAAGAAAGGGAGGGAAGGAAGAAAAGAAGGAAGGAAGGAAGCAACAAAGGAAGGATGGAAGGAAGGAAGGAAGGAAAGAAGGAAGAAAAGAAGGAAGGAAGCAACAAAGAAAGAAAAGAAGGAAGGAAGGAAGGAAGGAAGGAAGGAAGGAAGGAAGGAAGGAA